CAGGCCCTTTTTCTGTTTCCTTGGAGGCCTAGGAAGCAGTGCCTTAAAAGCTACACCAGCCATCCCCTTGGCCATCATGACCTACCTCACATCCACATGTGGGCTTCAGACCCAAGAGACTCAAGAAGAAGAAGAGCCAGTGATAAAAACAGAAACCTCCCCCTTCTACCCCCAACCTTGCCACATGGGAAGGAAACCTCATGGCCACATTTACTCATCCAGTGCAAAAAAATCCAATGTGTTATGGATCCAGCACTGCTGGAGACAGCTTAACAGCACAGCCATAACTGACAGGAGAAAAATTATATAACTTTTATATAAATTGCACAGCATACACTGCAATGCTCAGCACAACACCAGGTGAGTCTGCTTCCTCAGGCAGTGGCCTCTTTTCTAAGATAATTATTCAATATCATGTTTCTAGACCCCAACTACAGCACACTGGACTTACTTGGAAGTTTCCATCAGGCTACCTAAAAGGCTTTTAAAAATGATAATTTTCACACATATTTTTGAGGAATAAAAAAGTTTAAATAATATAGTATATACCAAATACTGTGTATTTTCCAAAACTAATTGGACTAAATCATGCAGATGAGAGAACAACTTATCCCTGAATAACTGTAGTCATCCTATGCATATTCAGACACAAAAGAAAAACTTCAGGTATAAAAGTATACTGGATCAGTTAAAATCGAAATTGTGTTGTACTTGCCATAGAATTTTTGATAAGGTTATTAAAAATAATAACTACTTGAATGGTTCGTTTTGGCAGCTCACAGTGACATTTCAATTCAAGTGCTCTGTATCAAATTTTAACTAGATATAATTAACAGAGTTAATCCAAAAGCTAAGTGCTGAAACTGAATTATTTTAAAGGAAATCTAAAGCAAATTCCAAGTTTGTAGCATTCCTAGAAAATTGCAATGCACAGCAAAATCTTGCTGGATTCTTTGTTCAGAGGCAATTTTGTAACACCAATATGTAAATAGCCTTTAGAACAAGGTGATTAAGCTGGTCTAATTAAAAACTTGGAATAATAGTTTGGAGTAAAATAATAGCAAAAAAAGGAAGACAGCTTTCTATCACTGCTGCTGGAAGTAAATGAATTTCCAAATACAACACTTCAAAGGAAAAACTCCACTCTGCCTTTACTTTCTTCCCATGATGTATGATGGAAGCACAGGAGGACATGTGTATGCAGAATTCCCAGATTTCTGTATGGATGCAGACAAGGAGGAAAAAATGGCAGACTCGGGCAGTGCAATGCAGAGAGAAACATGGAGAATGAAAAATAGCTTTAAAAAGCAGTGTTTGAAAAACCAAAACAACCAATAACCAAGAAGTATCAAATCTGAAAGGCTTCTCACACCAAAGAGAACACCAGCTACAAAAGTACAGCCACACAGAGCTCCCTCCCACAGCAATTTTGTTTTTATTCTTTAATGCCACTGTTTCTTTAATTCAGGGGTTTCTTTAATCTAAAATTGTAATTAAAAAATCAAACAAAATACACTTTTTGTTTTCCTGTGCAGAAAAGAAGAAGATGTTTGGGATGTATTCATCTACACTGCGATTCTTGATCAGGTTGGGATGTCTGCAGGTTTAAAAGCTATGTAAGCTTTTAGGTTGAGATGGACTATTTTGGGTCTGTGCCACAGTACAGAAGGCAAACCAGTTGAGCCATACATTTTCCCCAGGAAGATAAACAAAAGTTTAATCCCTATTTCAGTGTTTCTGTGAAGATCTGCAGAAAAAAAATTGGGTGCTAGTCAGAACCCAGAGCTGGAACAGACTGAAACATGAGCAGTACAAATGGCTACAGCCCTCAAAGAAATCCACTAAGCTTGGAGACAAAACACATTCCCATTCTACAGAATGTTATAATGGGTCAGAATCCCTGTGAGGATTTTATTGGCTAAGAATAATTTGCATTAATGTGTATTTTTTATCACTGTTTAAGAGCACTATGTTAACTTGATAATAAAAAAATGTAGTTTATACTCTGTGCAAAAAAGCCTTATCAAAGAAATAAAATCACTAACTCCTGAAATCTCAAAAACTTCTTTTCAAAAGGGACTTGAAGCTCAGCAATGGAATTTCCTGTATTTGTGGGTTTGTTTACAGTGCCCATAAATTCCTACATTATCTCAAGAAATAGACTGCTTAATCAAAAGTATATGTGAAAACCAAATTGTTTAGAATCTGATCATGGGATCATAGAGTAGTTTGGGCTGGGAGGAACCTTTAGAGGTCATCTGGTCCCAACCCACCTGCAACAAGCAGGGACAGCTTCCACTAGGTCAGGATGCTCTGAGCCCTGAACAATCTGACCTTGAATGTTTCCAGGGATCACCTCTGTGGGCAACCTGTTCCAGTGCTTCACATAAAAAAAAAAATCTCTTCCTTATAAATAATAATATGCTATTGAGAATTTGCAAGGTTCTAATTTTTTTTGCTAAGATTAGATATAGAATACTAAGGAACTACAGATTTTTTTACTACAGCCATGAGAGTGGTGCATTTCTGAAAGCAGAAGATACTGAGACAACATGCAGCATTTCAAAAAGCATAAAAGAGGATGATGAAGAGACTGGCAAAAACATAGGTTTAGGCAGTAACAGTAATGATGCACCACTCCTCTGCCACTGCTACTTGGCTTTTGAATTATTGTGCTGTGAATGTGGGAGAAATATCAGCACTGTATGAATCTGAGCAGTTTGCAATATTTCAACCAGCAGACAACAAGACAACTATCCTACCCTTCCCTCCCCCACCCCCCGTTTCCTTCCTATGATTCATCATTGGAAAGACATTCTTCAAAAATGTTTGTCTGTATTAGGAATCCTTCTGCAGAAGAGGTGAGAGTCAGCAAAATCTTGACAATCAGCTCACTGGAACAAAGTCAGAAGAATTTACTGTGTGAAAGTTGGTTGAAAATAGACTTGATGAAAATGCTGGAAATGCAGTTCCTATTGTACCAGGAGGTCAGATTTAAGTAAGTAGAGTCTGAAATCCAATGCAAGGGGAGAGGATTCATCTATTATTCTCATATATGTCTTATGATTACTTACCAAAGTGTATTATCTTTTTAATCAAATCATATAGAAGAGGTTGTAAAGAACAGGAACTGGAAGCATTATTAGAAAAAAATCTCCAAGTATTATCAGTGCCTTGGAGACAGGCTTAAAAAAGGTAAGAACCATTTACCCACACACAAAAGCGTTTTTTTAATGTCTGAGAAGTCCTTCTGAGATAGCAAACTAATCAAAATTCTACTCTGGTAGAATAATAAAATCCTACCAAATTCTAACCTGAAATGTTACCTTTCTAGAAAGGATATAAAACATGTATCTTGATTCACCTCATGAGAATATAAAAATAAAGGAAATAATTTATTGGGAATACATCTATTTTTTGTTGCAGCATATGCTCCTAAGTAGCCAATAAATTCTTAGCAAAGAGGGGAATTTTTTCATTTTATTTTGCAACAGCTCAACCAGAAGGTTTTGGTCAAAACCACTTTCACATCAGAGAGAGAATTCTTATTCTCAGCATATTCTTTCTCAATCCTTTTAACTTCTCTTCTTCCTTTTCCCTCACCCAGACTAAGAATCTTTCCATCATCATACCACCTTCCACCATATTATTTAGTAGAAAACCCTTTAGAAACACATCAAACCACTTGAGTGTGTCTAGAAATTCAAGATACATGAAGAACAGTGGAATGTCAGTCATTCCAGGCAGATCAGGCAGCAGAGCTAGAACACAAAATACTAATACCACTGAAAAATAGTTTAGGCAAGCTGGACAGAAGGCTTTGCTTTCCTGAGAGACTACAGATAACCAGAAAACGATTTTAGTCAACAAACCTGCTAAAAGGTGATTTGTACACAAATCCACACACTAAGGACAAACTGCAACCATGCCCCATCACATTACATGCTGATATAAATGACTCTGGAGATTGTCTGGCTCGCTCTCGCAACAGTCGTTTCACTGACTTTACTGAAAGTTTTAATACTATTTAAGTGATACCTTCAAATAGGAATTTTTAATGTCAATTAATGCAATTTACTTCTCAAGCCTGAAAGCAAGTTAGATATACACTTTTATATTAAGCTTGATAGGTATTATAAATAATGATGAAGGACAAAGTGAATCTTTCATGACACAGGTATGCAGAAAGCAACATGATGCCATTGAAAGCATCACTGTACTGCTAAATGTTTTGTGTACAAGAGTCAGTAGGACCTTAGGGAGCTGTGAATTCTGCCTGCCAGTGACCCTGACCCTATTTACCTTGGAAGGACAGAAGAAAAAAAGAAGCATAAAAGGATTAAATAATACTGTGGCCTTGGCAGGTACAAGTAGTGCTGATATTGCAGCAATATCAACATACAAGAATTCCAGAAGAGTTTGGTACTACATAGGATGAAGAAAAACACTCAGCAATAGAAACTACTGTGGCAGTGGTATATTTTCCATCAGGAGGTGTTATATGACATTGTTACTTACCATGTTTGTGTGGCAAATAAAGAGAGCTATATGAAAGGATTATGTTATGTTCATAATCAGCCATTAATGTGGAGGAAAAAATTTGCTATTTTATGTTACCATAAAAATGAAAAAATAAAATCTTCTAGCCCTGTGCCACTAATAACAAAGGTATTTGAAACAATTTGCATTTAAAAATACAAAGGTAGACAATCTGAGTTATATAATTCCCCTTGCTCTGTCTTCATTTACAGGTGTGGAAATCAGGGAGCCCTGGTTCCAGCTGAAGCTGTGATGCAGACACCCCTGCAGGTGGGTGGCTCAGGATACAAATGCTCCTCACAAGAAGAGGATCAGGATCACGGCGTTGCCAATTGCCTATCACAGTTTAAAGTGTCAGTTAGCTCAAGGCCATAACCCAGACAAGAATCCTGCTGAACTTTTCCCTTTCACACCTGGCGAGAAATTCACAAATACCTGGCGAAACAGTCATTGCCACCCACCTTCCGTGGTGACTGGGAGAGAAATCTCCATGCAGGCTGCAGACTGGGCTTTCCTGAAGGGGGGCCTGCCGGGCCCTCGGCGGTTTGCTCTCGACACATCTGCACTGGAAAGTCGTTTGCCTGAACTGCAGCTCTGGGATGTTGGGCTTGTACAGTGACCATTCACGTGATCTGGAAAGTGAATGCAACAAACGCTAGGTCAAGTGTCAGCTCCCGAGGTTCTGAATGGAGGAGAGACGTGTGTTCTGACACTCGAGAATGGGTTAAATCAAATCTTCTGTCAATAACTACCCATTTTTTTTACCAACCCATCGCATGTATGTGGAAAATAACTCACCACATCTTTAAGGTATAGTTCGGAAAAAACCAAGGGCCACAGAACTGGGTAGGTTGTTCTTAGAGCTGCAGATCCCGCAGCATTTTGCTGACCTATGCGCACAGGCATTTACCGAGGTACTGCAGGTAACACTGGCACCCTGCTGTTGTGTCTCTGAAGAGATACCAAGTCAATTGGAATGTTTTCTTTCCTTTTTGCTCTCATAAGAACTGCAAATATCATTTACTAAAGGGTAGAATTCAGAGCTAGACATCTCCCCTGCCTGACTCAAAGCTGCAGGAAACAGGCCACTATTTGAGATAATTACAAAAATAGCCATAATATTGCTAAGTATTTTATTCTTTTTATATCACATAGATTTATTTTACTTCTAAGGAAACAGACTGCTGAACAATTGATTTGTCTGCTACAGCTCTATAGAAATGAGGCCATGGTCAATCAGCACAGCGCATGTTGCTGTCTCATGGGGTTGGAAACAAATCATGCCTGCTTCAAAATCTTACTGCATTCATCTGTTCTTGGTCAACAAGTCTTTAAACCACAACATCCATTGATCAGGGCTTGGATCAGAGTTCAGAACTGGACTGGACCGTAAAATATTCATGTGGTATTTTCCTTCCTCTCATGCCAGGCAAGACAACATAAGGAGAATTACTGAACACAATTTCCCCTTCAGCATATGAAAGGATACACACCCAGGTATAAGTGAATTACTTTTGGTCAGCAGGTTATTTTAAGTAAACAGCAGGTAATGAGCAAAACAAAAGTTCAGGTTCATGCAAGCAGACTGAGGATTTTATCCAAAACTGCAAAACCTCAACACTATAGGTAGGGACAATCTTGGGGTTTCTGCCTTAATTTTAAATGTTGGATTATTTGTATCTGAGAATTATCTTCATCTTCAAGAGTCTGCATTTAAGTATCATATTCAGTCAACTCTCTTTGATTTGTATTGTATGCAAGGAAAAGATGAATGTTCATATACCAAGATAAATTTATTTCTTGGTTACCATGCCACGATAGCACCAGTGTACATTATGAAAAGTTATTTCTATATTCACTCAAAATTCTGGTCCTATGCTGAATACAGCGTACAGTGTGGTACATGTAGCCTTTGAATGTGCAAGTCATGTCCTTTCCATGTGAAAAAAGTTCACTCTTAATGAACAAAAGATGTTCAGAATTATAGATTACAAAGCAATTTACTATCTGTACTGTGTAACAAAATAGCTCTGTAGGAGACACAACTTCCATGATTCTTGTCATTTTTCCTTAATACATGGCTATTAACTGAGCTAACAGCAGATATAAAACTGATGTGGATGACTCATTCAATTTTTAGTTAGGAAATTTTCCAGAATTTGCTGGAACTGTTTGTATATTTCAGCAGAAAGTCCTTTGAGATCGGGGGCTTTGTTCAAGGACACAGGCTGACTGTTCAACCTCAGCAACAGACACATCCTCATCCAGCAGCTTCCTTTCTTCAAAATTCAGTTTGTGGGAAGGTGTTTCAGCATGATAGCTAATTATCTCCAGGGGGAATCCTAGGAAGTGGTGAGGAACACAACAGAGTGAAAAAAATCATATTCTATAGAAACATCAACAGCATTTGTGAGTCCTCTCCCCTGAACATTGCACAGAATGGCCACAACACATCCAAACCTGCTCACTATGTCTTAGCATAAGAGAAATGCTGCTATGTTTCTCTAAGTATGCTGGCTTGCCTCAGTTACCTTCAAAGACCCACATGAAATCATCATTAGGATCTGGGCACATAATTCCCTTCAGCTGTTCTGACAATGCTTTTTTTTTGGAATAAGCAAAGCCAGTTCCTGGGAAGAAAAACAAAAATCAGGCCTCATCCTAGAAGCTGCAGGCATATCCCTTCCAAGTTGGTGAAATATTAGTGGGTGCTATAAAGATAAGCAGAAGAGGGATTTTAGTGATCAGCTACAAACTTGCCTGTATTTTAACACTGTTCTGTTCCTCTGATTAGATACAACTTTTAAAAATGCATACAAGGAGAAATGCAGGTCTTCAAGCCTTAGTAAAAACACAGGGCATTGTACAACGAGCACGATAATTATAGGAAACATGACTGCAATTTTTTTCGTGGAGGAACTGAAAAGAATCCAGCAGATAAAGACCACTCAAATCCATAAGAAAATTCTATGTGTGTATTTAAAAATTAACTTCTCACATTTTTTAATGCTTTAAGGCCTGTGATACAAAACAATTCTGAAGAAAGGTTATGTACTGTTTAAGAAAGGGTTCCTTACTCCAGTGTCTGAAGAAAGATGAAGTGTCCAAGACAAGTGACAAGAAAAAAAAAATGTACTACTTTCTACAGTGTACTTTCTAAGGGAGAATGAGAATGTTCAAGCTCTCAGCCTTTCAGAATGACTGCAATGATTTACTACCCCTCTGAGGCCTGAGTCACCTGATTCTCCTTTGCCATGACAGATGTCTCCCAGCCACCCCAAAGAACACGTACAAGAGGCTTGTAAAAACACAGCTTTTCCCCAGCTTTGTTTGATTTGTAAGGAAAAGCAACATTTTCACTTTTGTCCTTGCTGGATTACTGCTTTTGTCACATGGTCACTGGGGCTTTTCTTGGCTCAGAAATATGAATTGATATGGAGCATTAGTTGACGTAGGGACATTAATGTTGGACTTAAGCAGCAAGGCACAGATTGCTCTGTGCTATTGACACAACAGTGCAGCAGCTCCTCACTCTCTCTTCTGCTGGAGGAGGCAAAGAGTCGTTGCTGAAGAAAACACTGCACAAAAGATCCCTTTTTTACCACTGCATTTGCCACCACCTCCTACCCCTTGGATGGTACTACACCTCCTACATCCATGGGTGTTGCTACCCACGAGGTGAAGGGAATTAGAATTATCCTCTCCAGTGCTCCTGGATCCCTTCAGCCAGTCTCACACTACTGCAATATGTTTGGGCATCAGGGTTTAGTGGAGCTTATCCTTGAAAGCAGTCTCCAAACTGTGTAAGAGCCATCCCACTATGCCAGGAGAATAGCGTTGTCTACTCCCTGTGGATAGTGAACTAAATGGCCAGGGATCAGTTTATAGCTATTCTGAGCAGTAATTTAAAAATTTAGAGCTCATGCAAGCTATTGGAAGTAATCATAGGGAATTACCCCTTTAGTCCATTTATACTAATTAACTGTAATGGTTTAATAAAGCAGTAAATCATGGTATGTATATATGATGTATTAAAATATATAACAGTTCATGACATAAAATTCTGTAATATTCTCCATGTGCTGCTTCTACAGTGCAGTTCATGGTTGTATGCCTTTGTCTGGGCCCATGGAATTAGAATTGCTTACCCATATGAATTAAAAATGCTTTATCTGTCCCTGCTACCAGACACTAGCACCATTCAGTGCCCTGTGCACCCCAAAAACTGTTTTAAAAAAGAAAGAGAACTGAGCTGGATGTAAGGCAAGAGTGCCACACAAAATATCAGTGGGATGATGAGATCGAGAGGAACTGAAGAAGCAACATCAGTTTCTGTGAACCTGATGAAACTGCTGAGAGATGTGATGTGCAACAGGACAGCAGCAAACCTGCAGGGCAGCCTCACATGAAGCCAGATTTTTTTGAGGCATGTTGCAGAGGGAGAATATTCTATACACACATGCAGATTTTAGTTTACACACAGTAACATGTATATCCTACACAACCTGCCTGATTACAAACAGAACTTTTGAACAACTTGGTGACCTCTGCAAAAAAGCAAAAGGGACCAACAATTTACCAGTAAAAAGATGAACACTTGTTAAAGCCAAATGTAATAAAAATGTCAGTAAGCAAGAAGCACTCATTTGCAGTTAGAGCCTATGAATTTTTTACACTTGACACAAAAAATCAGGAAAGAATATGAACAACCAATTCTTTCAGTTCTAACTAAAAGGGATAAATTCAAACAGAAAAACTATTTGAAAACCTTTTTACTAATGATTTGAGAGATGCAGAGACAAAAAAATATAAATATCCATAATTGCAAGAATTATAATATTATTTGAAGTTGTAAGGAAGTAATCAGTAAAAGAGAAGATGAGAACCAGAGGAGAACCAGATAAATGCTTTAATATGGAGCAGAAAGAAACTGAAAAATAAGTCTCAGAGAATCTTCTCAACAGCTGTTGAAGAGTACAATCTTTACTGTTAAAGTGAAGAAAAATCCATCTGTTTCCACTGGAGGATTTTTTGTGTACTATTATTTGTGTACTATTATTTTGTGTACTAATCATTTACCAATAAATCAGATTTTGAATAATGATTATTATGGTGACTAACCTTTATTTTTACACAGCAAAGAGATGCACATTTGAATTAAGAAAAAAATGCAATCTTAAAACTGTACAAATGGCCCCAAGAGCTGTCTCAGGTTTGTCTGTAAATAATCAATGTGATTATGTGAATATTCATCAGTGAGAACACAGACTGATATCATAACATATAAGAATTTAAAGGAATTTATTAAAAAGAAATTTCCTTAAAAAGTCAGAAACACAAATTTTCCTTGGTGCAGTTCTGTCAGCCAGGCAGGAGAGAAGGTGAAAGCCCTGGCAGAAGAGGTTAATGCAGAGACACTGCCAACAAAAATGCACATTTTTAACATCATGTCTTCATCAGTGTGCAGAAGAAGGAAGAGTTGCCCTAATGACATGCTGGTAGAATATCTAGGTCCACTTTAACACTATAATATGCTGTCATTGTAACATTCTGCCTACTGCCTGTGTAATGTAATGGCATTCTGCCTATGGTAACAAAATCCTATCATACACTTGGTTCTAAATGCACTATG